GAATATACCCTCCTATTTAAAAAAAAAGTATATAAAAAAATATTTTTTTTTAATTTCTAATTCTTTAATAATTTATTTGGGACTCATTTGCACTTTTCAATTTTCTTAATTTTTAAATAAATGTAATTGGGGCTTTTTTGCACTTTTTTTTAAAAAAACAATTTTTTAAATAATTTATTGGGGACTCGTTTTCATTTTTTTTAAAAATTGGGACTATGATTGCAATTAATTCCGTATCCTTTTTATTTAAATAAGAGACTATTCATTATTTCATAACTTTTTTATTTAGAAATTGGATGAAAATTGATAGAAATGATAGTTTGCGCAATCCATTGTATAATTAAGGGTGAAAATGTCAAAAAAATGAAGGATATGGAAGTTTTTCGCAATAATAATGAAAAGTAGGGACATTATTTGCTAATTGCATTTTTAAAAAAAATTGGGACTATAGTTGCAATGAGTTTTTTCTTTTACCTTTTTGTTTTATTTAAAGAGAAGTGTATATTCGTCATTTCACAATTTTTAATTGAAAAAATGGATGAAAGTAACCTTTTGCACAATAAAATGTGGAAATAAGGGTGAAAATGCTAAAAAATAAAGGTAAGGACGTTTTCTACAATAATAGTTAAAGGTGGGAACGTCATGTGCTAATTACCCTTTTTAGGATTCTAAGTTGGTTAATCATCATTTTTATTGACACATTTCGTAATATTTACAATTTTTATCCATTTTTTTTATCTATATATTTCTCATGACTCACAGCTATAAGATTTGGCAATGCAATGAATTCATTAATATAAAGGTAAGCCACATACACTGTGAGGGAAACCAAATTGCGGCCTATTTGGCAAACGAATGTATTAGCATGAGGCACGTTGCTGATCTACCCTCTAAACTTAAAAAAAACAATATTCTCTGGTGAACGTGCTCACATTCCGTATGTTCTAGGTTAAAGATTTTCCTCCACAATTGTTTTCCTTGCACAATTTATTTTCCGTTGGCTGTTAAAACAAGAAGAAGTACGTTGATATGCCTTTTTCACTAAGACTCTAAAAGGATGCCATATGGTAACCACATAATGAGTGAACCCAAGGCCACCCTCAACGACACCAGATCCATGTGACAATTTCACCAAACCTCAATGAAGAGGGTCGTACCCTTATGGTGAGGCCGAGCCCCTATGGACGGGGCGAGGCACTATAGGAATCTTTCGTCCCATATCTTCCTTAATTGATGTAACCACTCACTGTAGTAGCCGGGGATAGACCCAGCGTTAAAGTTCAACTCGGGCGGAAGTTGGTCGGTCAACGTCAACAATTAGCAATCGTAAAAACGAGTTCGTTTATTAATATTTAATTACATAATATTAAAAATTATTCGATATATACGTAAACTATCAAGTAATAATATAACGAAACATGTCACACTTATCAAGTTCAGGTCACATGCTATCTAAATCAGGTCGCATTTCATTACAAAAAGCTATCAAAATTTATTAAAACAGTGTCATAAAACCTAACTAACATGAAAGACAGTATACCAATAAACAGAGAGCATACCAACACTTAGAGCTTGTTTGGGAGGGATTAAAATCAGATTAAAATTGAAAATATAGCCGTTATTGTTGACTTTTATTAGACGGGTGGGACCCAATAACGACCATATTTTCAATTTTAATTGGATTTTAAGCCCTCTC